AGAGGTATATCGAGTAGGTATGATATCACAAAAATTTGCAACCCCAAAAAAAACCAATCTTTTATGCGACGTAGGAATTGTAATGTAAAAAAACGCACACAGCGCCAATTGTTCTGAATTAATCCGCATCGTCCAGCGTAAATTATAAGCAATGAAAACTGTAATTTTGTAGGACGATACAGTTATACCGTGGAATTGAACTCAGAAAGGGTTGAATGTAATGGCAGAAAACATCTGGGTCCATTTTGTGAAATGTGTCGAACACCGCTTGCGTTATGCGAAAGTTTCTCAACCTTTTTGCTTTGAAATGACGATTTTTTTACATAACACATAACATCACGCCTTTTATCCCCGATGGGGTAGGCAGAGGTGCACATTTCGCCACTTATTGCCACTGTACATTGTAACACCCACTTTTCACTATTTATGTTATGAGTCCCATGTAATAGGGGGTAAGAATATTGGCATATACTGGGCACGATTCCAGACTCCGTGCTGCTACTGAGAATTGTATTTAAACTGTCAAACACCAAGCGGTCACCGGTGACCGCAACCTATTGTTCTTTAATTGTGTCTATAATGACGGTACTCGACGAGTTAAACCCTGTATTACTTGACCCCTTGCTCGGCAGCCGCACTTGCGACTACTCGGCCAACGAGGGAGTCTAGATTTTTTATTAAATCTTGTATTACTTCTATTTTTCTGAAGGGTTAACAGAAGTGAACATACAATAGGTAAAATCTCATCTTAATCAAATATGAGTTTATAATAGTATACCATATCCAAGCAATTAATTACATCTACGATTGAACCTACAAACATTATAATAGTTAGTTTTAGTTATTATTATGTAAGGTAGGTAATTTAATAGGTTAAGATGTATGTGTATATGTATATTGTAAGGCCTACTTTATTATCTTTGTGTAGAATATATTTCTTTTTGTTTTCGTTGTATTACTTCTTTTTAGTACTTAATATAGTTAAATATGTTTTTTTTAACTAGATTAAGCCTCACTGTCGAATTGGGAAAATCCTGTAATGAGAGTGTAGGAAGATTTTTATAATAAATAGATAAAATAAATAAATAATTCCACTTTACAAGGTACCCACTGCTAAAGAAATGACCTCTTAGGGGAACCGATATTGTCATTGTCCCCATGCCAGGGAGGTGGCTTGAGAATCTCAGTAAGGGAACCATAAGCTTGTCCCTTAGTAGCTAAAGTCATAGGGCGATACTGGACAAGTTATAACAGAAAAATAGAATAACCTACAAATCAAAGCAGTTTCATTATCCCAGTTAGTGTTGAGAACCAGAGCAAATGACCTCGATTAGCGCTATTATAGCGGTATAAAAGTAGGATATTAACAGTAATAAGCTTTCATTGGCCTGTATAAGATTATTAGAAGGATATAGCTGTGTGTTAGTGCGTCTGTATGTCTTTTGTATGATGATAGCGTCTCGTATTAACGATTTTGTTAGTAAGATGTTATGGGCAGATTAAATGGTAAAGGTATGATTTTGCTTTCATTGTTTTGTTCATATTCTTTCAAGAAGTAGGCCTTTAAGGACAGTGTCCTGTTTATTTAGCGTTTACTTGTTTTTTTTAAGGGGGGAATATCATCGATTGACTTTTCCACCCTTGGTGTTAGACTCTTACTGACTAAAACCACCCCGTTCTTATTCCTGCACTTTGAGCTGGACCCCGGTAACCCGTGAAGCTCTCCGCGGTTCCGTATCGGCATCAGCCTTACTGGGCCCCATCCGTGGTGGTCTGATGACTGCCGGGCAAAGAGTCTCGGGTTCGATTTCTGAGCCGGGCAAAGTATTAGAGGGTTTTAAAAAAATCTCAGTAGTAGCACGGAGTCTGTAATTGTATATGGTAATAGGCTCACAACTATTACATGGGACTTATAACATAAATAGTGAAAGTGGGTGTTGCATTGTACAGTGGCATTAAGTGCCGTAATGTGACCTCTGCCTACCCCTTCGGAGATAAAAGGCGTGATGTTATGTTATGTTTTAGATACAAACAAAATTATATTTTAAACAACCAGCTTCTAAAAAAATAATTCAGACACATTTTTAACTCTACCAACACTACCATAATGTGTTCAATTAACTATTAGATACTACTAAAAAACCTGTTGCTATGGAATTCAAAATTGCACACGAAAAAAATTAAATCACTCGATCATTTCGTGACTTGATGTTATCAAGTCGTAACATGTTTGTTAATATTACGAACTGCGTATTACGTTGTCCTCGTGTAGATTACTCGTATCAGTACCGAAGTGGCTTCCCAAACGTACTACTTGTCTGTCGGCACTATATAGATATTATTTCATTCATATTTTTGAGTCAATGTTGTCGTTTTTAATACGGCTTGTTTCTGTATAGTGTTTGGTTTTCTGTAGTGGATTCTTGTGTGTTATTGTTTTGAGTGTTTCATTTGGGTATGTGATTGAGTGAAAGTATATTTCTATGATCATTGGAGGTAAAAGAATTGGTTGATATACTTTTATTTCAGGCTAAGTAGAAAAATGCATTCAAGATTTCTATTAGTTTTATGGATATTTTTTTACCTGTGACTCTTTCTACGCTTTGAATAAGAGGTGTAATGTTCTGCTAAGTAAACATGTCAGTTTCATTAAAACATAATGATGATATTTAAATAAATTTTTGAGTTCTGATATTATTGAGTTATCAATGATCAATTCCGTGACATTGAACTCAATAAGTTTGTTTGCAACTATTAGACCTTCCTTGTATAAATTATCTTACGATTCAATTCAGTCAATTTTTAAATCAAATGTCTACCAGGGGTGATTGGGAACCAAGGTCACTTTTTTAGTACCAGCTCCTAGAACTGTAAAACTTTAAAAATTGGACAAACATGACCTTAGTAAGACCAAAATCATCAACAACGCCATCTATGGTGAGCAAAACCGGTCGCGGCGTTACTAGAAACTGGCGCTACTCTGTTGCTAAGGTAAACATTGGAGCAGACAGTACGTCTGGTTCGAAACCGCATTACACAACATTAGCACAGTCACTCGCTCCGATAACAAAAAATAAACACGATATTATCTGTGGGCAAAAACATTTAACCTTTTTATCAACATAATTCTGCTCTATCATCGTACATAATACTTTGTTTTGATGTAGGTATGTTTTTTAAATAATCCGCTATAGTAGCTTCTAATAATACTTATGTTGGTTTATTTAGCTAAATGTGTAAGGAATGTTGTAGTTATTTACAGGTATATATACTAAACTAGCTTCTGCCCGCGACTTCATAGACGCAAACCCGTTTATCCATTTATATAAAAGTTAAAAAATGGTATTGGTTAAAAAATCCTATATTCGTCTCCTGGTTCTAAGCTACCTCGCACCAATTTTCATCTAAATTGATTGAGCCGTTCTTGAGTTATAAATAGTGTAACTAAGACGACTTTCTTTTATATAGCTAGATATAGCTGGAATATGACTGAAAAGGTTATTTATTTGTAAATTGAATTTTTGATCAACTTACACTTTGTGACACGTAATCATGAACTCAGCCTTGAGGTCTAAGAGGCACCCATAAAACTGAAAATTGTGCTTATTTGTCTAAATTATGCCTGCTACTCAGCACCACCAGATTCACAGCATTTTGTTTTATGGCAAAAAACGGGAAATGAGCAGGACAATCACCTGATGTAAGCAAAAAGCGTCACCCGTGGATATCCGCAGGACTAGAGGAGTGAGAAGTGCGTTGTTGACTTTTTGGGGATCTGAGAATTTGAAGATCGGGTATGGGATGCTTTCGATTACGATTCTTGTAAATTCATTGAATTTGGAATTTTTGTTGAAATCTAATCAGTGTTTAACGGGTTGTTATTCTAGAATGGGTGCAATAAACTTATTGGTGAATATTAATACTGTAAGTATATTCCTACTATTAAATTACGGATAATAGAGATATTGTAGTTTGTATGCATATATTTTGCTAGTCTTCATTATGTCCTTAGTATGTCGTGTGTATCTATTTATGTGGATTCATCTAAATACAATTTGTAGCGATTTTCAAGTCATTGTCATTATTAAAACTGCCTCGTTGGTCGCAAGTGCGACTGCCAGGGGGCAAGGGGTCTCGGGTTCGATTCCCGAGTTGGGCAAATTATTACTGGGTTTTTGAAAATTCTCAGTAGTAGCATGGCGTCTGAAATTGTGCCCAGTATATGTATGGCAATAGGCTCACCCCCTATTACATGGGACTCATAACATAAATAGTGAAAAGTGGGTGTTACATTGTACAGTGGCATTAAGTGCCGTAATGTGTACCTCTGCCTACCCCATCGTGATGTTATGTTATGTCATTATTAAAATTACTGTTCTCTGCAAATATTGCATGTCGCTAAAAAATTAAACTACAAAATTTTAGTGTACAATAATTACTTAAGTATTAGTTAGTGTCGCGTACAATGCGTTATTAAATATGATTGAGGAATATTTTATGAAATTGGATAACTTTTAGTATTTTATATTGAACTATAATGTTTACTATTTTTTTTATTAACTAGCTTTCCGCTTGCGGCTGCGACCTGTGATGTAGACTTATACGTATAAACCTTCCACTTGAATTAAAATCTATTAAAAAAAAAACTGCATCAAAATCCGTTGCATAGTATCTAAGCTTACACAGAGACAGGTAAAGGAAAACAACTTTGTTTTATACTATTGAAAATCAATAGTATTGTAAATAATGGGAAAATAACAAAAAATCCGAAAATCAAATGTGCGTAATTAGACACGCAAAACTGATAACAATGACAAAGCAAATATTTAGTAAGATGCTCTGCGGATAGATAAGGCAAGTCGCAACCTGTCGGGTCTAAATATACTATTATCGTATCAGTTGTAAACACCGAGCGTATTATAAAAAGGAGCATTCGAATTGAGCGTTCATCAGTTACAACTGAACATTCAACGAGATTAGACAAGTTGAGACAACCAAACATGTTGTCCACAATCATACTCGCCGTAGCCATCGTGGTACTAACCCTCACGTACCTCAGAGGCAAATACAATGAAAACTACTGGAAGAAAAGAGGAATAGTCTTCTACAATAGGAATAAAACCCTTGGCCCTTTGTGGGAGTACATGACTGGAGAAAGACCATTGTTCCAAGTGTTTAACGAACTGTATTGGAGATATGAAAAGGAACCTGTTGTTGGATTGGGCTCGCTGGACTCGCCTGGACTGTATGTAAAGGATCCAACCAATATTCAGTTCATCACACAAACTGACTTCCAGAACTTTAGCCACAGAGGCGTTACAGTTTTAGAAGAAGATTACCTGGCCAATAATGTTCTGTTTTTACACGGTCAGAAATGGAAAGTAATCAGACAGAAGTTGACACCGATTTTCACAACAGCGAAACTGAAAAACATGTTCTACATTATTGACAAAAGCGCCCAGGACTTCATAGAACATTTGAAGCAAAACCCAGAAAAACTAAAAGGTGACACATACGAACATTTAAGTCATTTCTGTACCGCTGCTCTCGCGGCTGCTGTATTTGGAATCACTACAAAATCCACGTTTGATTCTCCGTTCCGTGTAATGGCGAAACAAGCATTAACTCCTACATTATTTTCAAACATTAGGTTCGCAATAAATAACGTCAGTGATAAAGTCTTTAGAGCATTGAGACTAAAATTCTTCAAAGAACAAGAGGGCTTCTTTATTGGAGCTATTAAAGAGGTACTCAAACAACGCAGATTAGATACTACTGCCCGACACGACTTCATAGATTTGTGTATTGATCTTCAAAAGAATGGTCCAATGGTGGATAGCGATACTGGATACACGTTGGAACCTACAGACGAGCTACTGGCAGCTCAAGCGTTCTTCTTCTTCTTAGCTGGCATTGACCCCACTACTGCTGGAGCATTTGGACCTTTGTATGAATTGGGTAAACACCCAGAAATCCAGAAGAAGGTACAAGATGAGGTAGATGCTGTCTTCGAGAAATACGGCGGCAAGCTGACGTATGATGCAGTACTGGAACTGAAGTACACCGACTGTGTATTCAATGAGGGTCTTCGTTTGCATCCTCCAATTGGCTTCAACACGCGGCAGTGTGTGCAAGACTCCGTTCTGCCTGTCGGCAATGTGCCTGTTGAGAAAGGTACGAAGATATTCATACCTACATATGAGTTGCACCACGATCCTAAATATTTCCCGGAACCTGAGAGGTTCGACCCTGATCGCTTTGTTAGAGGAGAGGTGAGTGATACGATATACATGCCATTTGGTATTGGTAAAAGATTGTGCATTGGTGTACGATATGCTCGTATGCAGATCCTGACTGCTTTCGCCCATCTCTTAAGAAACTACACACTGGTCACGCACATTAAAAAAGGCGGTGTACAGTATAGAAAGGAGCAATTCCAAGTGCGGCTCGATAACTGTGATATCGAGTTGGTGCCCAGGGAACAGTGATGGAAAAACGAAAGTAGCTAGTACAATGGACTTGAAGATAGGTTACTTATGTTGTGAAATTGTGAAGTGTTTTTTACGTGAATAGCAAAACAATTTTAAATAATTGGTAGTAATACATGTACTAATGTACATATTTGTTTAATTATTCATACACTAAAAAAATTACAGTAAGTGTTTGTAAGCTGTTGTTTATATTGTTTATATTTTGTGTATCTATAAAAAGCCGCAATACGGTCTTATGATTTGTTTATAATATATATAGCTATGAATGAATGAAATGAATAAAATGTGATTGTATTTAAAATCATTATATTTTTATTCCTATATACCATACATAACATACCTAGACTCTTAGACAGCTGAGGATTAAATGGTAATAAAGTGAAATTGGAACGAGCAAGAAATTATCATTAATTTTAGTGTAAAATAAAATAATAATATCAAAAGAAAAGCATAAGTTAAGTATTATATCCATAAATAGTTAAATTATTCTTGGAAACAGTTGTAGAGAGTTTAGTGAGGCTATATTGAAGAACTGCCAAGAAACTTTATATCTATTATTTTTACAAGAATATCTTTACAAACAAATTCAAATCATGTATCTTAGGAAAATGTTTTACTAAGATACAACACTAATAATTAATATTAATACAACAATAATAATACACGGTCATTAGTCACGGTCGCGGAGGTGAGAAAGACTGGCGAGAGATGTCGCAGGGTGTTCCACAGGGATCCATCCTGGGACTAGGTTCCAAACTCGCTCCCACACTTTGCATGAGAAAGTGCCCCCACCACGGTTATTTATTTATACAGTGAATTAGCAGATTTAACGCATTGAGCATTCACTAACAGTTAAGTGTTGGGTGGTGCACAAAGATAAAGTGATAGATGCAAAGTTATAGGAAAATAAAACAATTTAAATAAACATAAGTAAAGTGTAACAGATACATACATAACATCACGCCTTTTATCTCTGAAGGCAGAGTTGCACATTATGCTACTGTACAATGTAACACCCACTTTTCACTATGTATGTTATGAGTCCCATGTAATAGGGGGTGAGCCTATTGCCATATACCGGGCACAATTCCAGACTCCGTGCTACTACTGAGATTTTTTAAAAACACAACTTTGCCCGACCCGGGGATCGAACCCGAGACCCCCTGCCCAGCAGACGCACTTGCGACCACTCGGTCAACGAGGCAGTCTAACAGATAGAGCTAGATAAGTTTTATGTAATAAATTAGGACCTAAGGTACTACTTAAAAAACTAATCGACATGTTTAATAGAGACTCTATTCTTATAAAAAAAAGAAAGCAATAAAAAAATAAAACACTTATTCAGCACCAAAAACGATGTAGCATAAATCAAATATTTAAAAAAGACAATACAAAATAAAAGCAGAAATAACACTTTCAAAGGGAGACAAGTACCTATAAATTACAAAAAGAATCTTTATCTCTTTTATCGACGTTTTGTTCCCGTCCAAACATCAATCAGCAACTCAATAAATAAATAATTAACAGATAAAACTTACTTCCTTGTTACCACAAGTGTAATACCAATGATGATTATTCGTATACATGTATGTGTTGAGATAAAGAATTTGTTATCAATTTGTTACTAGCGACAACCATTATCACCGCGTGAAATCTATTACGCAGGCGTCGGTTTTCGCGTCTAGCGTTATGGCAGACTCCCGCTGCTTGGACGCCGCAGGCAAATTTAAAATAGCATTTAAATAACATAACATCACGCCTTTTATCCCCGAAGGGGTAGGCAAAGGTGCACATTATACCACTGTACTATGTAACACCCACTTTTCAACTATGCAGTATTTAATTATGAGTCCCATGTAAGGCTCACCTATTGCCATATACCGGGCACAATTCCAGACTCCGTGCTACTACTGAGAATTTAAAAAAAACTTAGTAATACTTTCTCTGACCCGGGAATCGAACCCGAAACCCGTTGCCTGGCAGTCGCACTTGCGACCACTCGGCCAAAAAACGGGGCAGTCGTTTTTTTATCAATGGTTGGTGGCAACACTTGGTTGGCGCGAAAGATACAAGATGGTGGTTGAACCGTTGAGTGTAGCAAAAGGATATGTTTATTGTCAAAAGGAATAGTAAAACCAATAAAAATAAAGCGCAGTTGTGAGTTAAAACCTTCGTTCAGTTTTTAGTATAAAGAAAAATTATTAGAAGTTACTGAAGCTGCATATAGACTTCCCAGCTTAATGTGTCGAATGGAAAAACTTTTCCAAGTTAGTAGGCAAATACTTCAGCGTTTCTTTGTTTCCTGTACAAATTGAATATCATTTTCTTTTCTCTGTTCTTTATTTCAGTGGGGTTTGTCTTCTAGATTCCCGGGTTTTTCTGATGTCACATCAAGACTAGCACCATTTTCTTTTTAACGATCATTTGACCCAAGCACGCGGTACATTGTTATACTTGCAAAAATCGAGCCGTATTGACTCTGTCTTGATAATCTTTTAAATTCAATAGATATAGGTACATACCACTTTTTTAAGGGGAAAAATCATTGAATGACTGCTTCCGCCTGGGTGAGGTGGGAGGGAGTGTCAGACTCTTACTGACTAAAAACCACCCCGTTCCTTCCCCTGCACTTCGAGCCGGAGCCCCGGTAACCCGTTAGGTTCTCTGCGACAGAACGAAATGTCTACCTACTTATCCTGTTCACAATTTAAAAGTACACTTTTTAGACCAAATCTTGATAGCTTTGTAGGACCACCCAGAATGATTTAAGATTGTTACATAAAGTTTCCTTTAGAAGATAAAAGGGAATGTCACACCTATCTTGAATTAGCTAGATTTGTTCTAGTACTTTTGATTTTTTTTATAATATACTAGCTTTTGCTAGCGGATTTACCCGCTTTCCGGGAATAAAAATAATCCAGACTATAATCTATCTCTGTATGAAATGTAATTAAATCTGTCAAGTGGTTTCGTGATAGACTATATAATAGACATGTATACATACTAACATTTTCACAAACTCATATGTATTTCGGCGATATCATTATAGATATATAGAGGTATATATTTTTTAAATGTTCGTTCAAAGTCCTAAGAAGAGTAAAGAATCTAAGCAGAGGAATCAAGGATTTGGATCCTGGGTTATGTATGTAGAAAACGAGCGGCTGGTGTCAATTATTATTTATATTATATGTTGTACTCCGTTGTTTCTTTGTTCTCGTCATTACTCTTTTTAGTTTATGATTATTGTTTTGTATTACCTATATAAGTATCTGTATTTTTTATATTCTTTTTTATTTATGCTTTTTTTACGGCATAAGCCGGCAAACCAGCAGACGCATCACCTGATGGTAAGCAATCGGCGTCGCCCATGGACACCTGGAACACCAGGGGCTAAAAGTTTGTGCGTACTGTCAAATAAATGCTTTTTCTTTCTAATGTTTAATTTATTAAAAGCACCTTTTGTCTGCCTAATAGCCTTTGGTCACAGTATCGCGTTATTTCAACTTATCATTACAGCATCTACCTAAAACTTTAATGAAGATTTTAATGAAATAACTTACCTTAATTAAAACCATTTCTTCCGATGACTATAGACCTTAGACCTTCACTAAAACTTTTCCAATCAATCATTAATTAGTACAAAAACCATAATATGAATGGACCCTGGCAGTCCATTTGCCAATGAGAGGTTAATTGATTGATCCAACCCGTGAAATTGCAGGATTGGTCTCCATTAAATATTCAATTATTCTGTGTAAGGGATAAGATGGGAACCGATCTGAAATCGAGGAAATTACTAGCAGATAATTAAGTTCTGATCTTTTATGTAGGAGGCTGAGGTAAGTATTAGATTACGTTGAAGAGGTTTGTACGTAGATGGATGGCTACTTCGGTCTTAAGACGTTTTATTTTGAAGTGACTTCTTCCAGGTGAGACGAGAGGGAATGTCAGATTCTTACTGACTAATACCACCCCGTTCCTACTCCAGCACTTCGAGCCGGAGCCCCGGCAACCCGTTAAGTGTCTCCGTATCGTCATCAGCCTTATTGGGTCTCGGTGGTCTGATGGCTCTTTGAGGCGCATGCGGAACGCGACGCGCCGTAAGCTCTGGTCTGGTTCTGGTCGGGCGACAAGTCACCCGTGCTCGCCGTAGTGAATTTGACAGAGTCTCTCGATCACAGAATTAAAGTTTATTCCAGAGTGCCTGGTTTATATTAAACGTGTGAGCCCCTTAGATAGAACGCCACGCTGGGAAAGAGAAGTGTCAAAATATGTATTCGATTCTGCTCAAACATTTTGCCCACTATCCATTCTAAAGTTTTATTAAAAAAACATAACATAACATACCTACATAACATAACATCACGCCTTTGATCCCCGAAGGGATAGGCAGAGGTGTACATTATGCCAGTGTACAATGTAACACCCACTTTTCACTATTTATGTTATAAGTCCCATGTAATAGGGGGTGAGCCAATTGCTATATACCGGGTACATTTCCAAACTCCGTGCTACTACTGAGATTTTTTTGAAAATCCCAGTAATACTTTTACCCGACCCGGGAATCGAACCCGAGATCCCTTGCCCGGCAGTCGCACTTGCGAACACTCATACTATTTAAAAAAAAACTAAAAAATGTGTTATTCACTAAAGGAAAATGCAGCAGTTTGTTTGTTTATTTGAAAAATAGTCGTACGGAGGACGCGACGCGACGCCAGGACTTATATGCAGGAGATAGTAGCAGACACATTGTTCACTGTAGTTGTAAATAGCATGCAATATACGTACTACAATGTACTCAACTGAACTAAGTGGTGTGATGTAAAATATTAGTAGGAATAATTCGTCTGTGTAAAAGTTGCTCTTTTTCATCCATCAGGGAGCTATAAGTATGAATTTCTACAAATATGTATAATCGTCGTGACTGCCTCGTTGATCGAGTGGTCGTAAGTGCGACTGTTAGGCAAGGGGTTTTGGGTTTGAATCCCGGACCA